CATAAACAATATAATAACACAATACTACTTATTTATATAAACAATATATAGTAACACACTACTAATTATTTACGTTCTAACACAAATAAGAATTACTGTAAAGATTAATAACACAATACTACTTATTTACATAAACAATATAATAACACAATACTACTTATTTACGTTCTAACACAAATTATTTATCATTATTTTTATTTGAATTAATTCAATATTTTGCTATCACTAAGAAAAACTAACCAAACCACTAATACTACAAACACTTTTACATTTTGTTTAGTATAGTTAAAGCACATTTTAGGCCAAACTCTAAATCTTCTAAGCTGTCCAAATCTTGAGATGACAATGGAAAATATATTTTAAGCACAAGCTCAGAATTTGAAGGTGACGTGCAACTGGAGTTTCAAGAGACTTTCACGTTTGTTAGTCTGAAGTCAGCTCTTAATTAGCATAGTTCAGTTTACCCTAATCTACTTACACTGTGAGCTCGTTATCTAAAATAATCATTACATATATCAATTTCTCTGACTGGTTTATAATAGTATAATGACCATCATTAATTATATTCGTCATAATACATTACTATCAGGCCCGTTATACATTTTAACACTATAATCTCTGTTCAGTTCTTTAGGTTTTTATTTACAGTAACAGTATTTAAACCACACTATGTGGGTAACACTCAAAATGAGTCATAATTTGTAAAATCTTGCACTAAATTAGTTGTAAGAAATAATAATTAATATATCTTAGTTGCCTAGTTATATAACTTTTATAGATATTCTTCTCACATCAATAGAATCTACTAAACAATTCTCAACTACAAACCAGTTCTCCTTTTTTGCCCATTTACTCTTATTCTAGATTGCTAAGATTCATACGGGATCTCAAAATTCGTCTCTTTTTGGGATAAAAAACCATAAAATATTTGCAACTTTCTTTGTGGATCTGAGGATGTTTTGAATTCAAGGCTATTGTAGAAAGTAAACTTTATGTATTTATCTGTCCATGTAAAATAGTTCCAAGTCTCCATTTAATTAATTTAATCCTACATTTATTTTCAAACAAACATAGTTTAAAAGAAAGACCAGTGACAGATTTTTGGTTGTGTCCAAATGCTATTCAAATGTTAGGATTTATACTTAATTTCAGTTTTTAATATTTGAACTTACAATGTTTGAACAACTTTTAACAGTAAACATGATGACATCAAACACACTCATGTTAACTTACATCAAATAAAAATAGAATGACTGAGGAAAAGAAAAATTATATTATGCCAGTACATAAAACCTTAATCTCAACATCTTGCTATGGTGGTGTATTTCTTTGGCTTATGCAAGCAACTAAATATAACCATAAAATGTAAAGGCTACAAAATACTGTGAAATTTGTAGTGTTAGTCACACATTCACAGTGGGTGCAACAAAATACACGATTAAACTTAAGCACAAAATACTGGATAAGTCAAAAAGTTTAAGTAACAATATCCAAATAAAAGAAACAAATTTATTGTGGTAAGAAGATGAGATCCAGTTTTTACATCATACAGTAAAACCAAAATATATTTACCCGTCATCTAGGGAAGATTTTGCCTCATGAAGCTCAGGTGCAATAAAAGTTGTTTCAACTTCTGAGTAACATTCTCCTGTTTGTCTCCTAAAGATTGAAAGAATAACAGCACATACATATAGTATATAGTTCTGTACTTATCTTTCATACTGTACATGTTAAAATAACGACAGCTATAGGTAGATACAAGTATGATTAACCATAACCCACTCTCGTGGTTTTTCTAAAGTTTAGATTTTCATTAAAATGGACACTGATATAAGCTGTTAATGGTTATTTATAAATCACAAAATTCTATATTAAACATATTAATTTACTTCAACCTCTATCCTTTTAACTACTTTGAAATAAACATCTTAATAAACATCTTAATAAACATCTTAATAAACATCTTTGAACAAGAACATGCAGAGTAATTGTTAGTGATGAAAATATTAGCTACAAATTATGATATGAATATAACTTAAGATGTTAGCTACAAATTATGATATGAATATAACTTAAGATGTTAGCTACAAATTATGATATGAATATAACTTAAGATGTCAGCTACAAATTATGATATGAATGTAACTTAAGATGTTAGCTACAAATTAGGATATGAATGTAACTTAAGATGTTAGCTACAAATTAGGATATGAATGTAACTTAAGATATTAGCTACAAATTATGATATCAA